AAATTTATTTATTTATTTATTATTATTTTTAATGAAAATAAAATTCCCCTCTTAAGTTTTTCTGATGTACAAACATTCACTAGTCTGATATAATAAAAATTGTTGACTAACTCGTGTGTAATTTATGTTTATGAACAAAATAGAAATATTAAGGAAAGGATACTAAGTGGTGAGTGCTTTATCCTCAGCAACTAACTCACTTTGTTCATTTTTTTTCCTGCTGGTAAATTATCAATATGAAAGAAATTGAGTCTTATTTGTTTATATAAATTTTACTTTTTTGGTCCATTGAACATATAGTTATGCAAGTCATCAAAATCTAGGTCTAAAAATTGACCTATTGTGACGAAAAAGGAGGAAGGCACTATTTATGAGAAAGGCTGTAAAAATAGCAAAATTTTACAGCGGCAAGCTATTACGTACATAAACCCTTAGGGAAGACACAACCCTTTAGCCCAAGGATAATGGTATTACCCATTTATTAAATGGGGAATCTGGTCAATGACCTTGCAAAGAAAAAGAAACGAGTGAGTCAAGTGAGTGAAACTGTGATGCCCTTTGAAGACACTGCCAATTTACATGACCACATTCCACTGATTATTTTTGTTATGAAGTTGGAAGAGACTAAGAGTCATGTCCTTTGCTTTGTCAAGTCCACAAAGAAGAGAGCTTATATCCTCTCTTGAAGAAGCGAGAAACAACATGCATTCAGAATTTTACATAATTTATGAATTTCAAGTTGCTCATGATGACTTAAAGGAAATGTCAAATAATATCTGGTAGAGGGATATCCAAGAAAGAACAAATATCATTGTTGTTCGGATAGAAATATCAACACCTTTTCAAGCACAATGACCAGAAAAAGTGGGACAATTTGAATTCAGTGGAGATGAAAGCTCAAAAGTAGATAGTTGAGGAACTTTAGTTCTTAATTACATAGGGGACTTGTAAATGTCATGAAAAAATGTGTTGTCCCCCCTTTATTGTCAAACTTACCAAATAACCAAGTAGTAGACAAAAAAAGATTTATGCTTATGTCTGTAAAATAAATTGTGACCCTTTCAAATATTTGACCATATGCTTTTACTTCCTAGCAAACCTTATGCCAAATATATTCTTGTGTGTCACCATTTTCAGTCTGTAATGGCATTTTGTAACATTTCATATAATATTTGAAACAGGGGCTACTTCTACAGCTGAAAGGGCTTCATAAACTGCCCTCTTGGCTCCACCTCTTAAATGTATTCTTGTTGTGTGTTCTTGTTATGTCTATAATGACATTTTGTAACATTCCTTGTTTTTGAAATAGGGCTTCCTTTCCACAGCTGAAGATTTTGCATTAACTTCCCCTCTTCTCCACATGTGGGTCCTATATGCATAGAAAAGGACTCGTGTGGATGAGGGGCTGGGGGTGGTGCCTTTTTGGTTGTAATTATTCTCACCCCAGTCAGTAAAGTACTCTTTCTTTTAGAGAGCTTCTGGATAAGTTTTTTATATACTATGTACATGAACGGTTTATTTCGCATATTTAATCATCCTATGTGAAGTTATATTGCCAAATATGCTACAACCAGTGTTTTTAGTCTATATAACAGCTTAATTGTTTGAAAAGTATATTAATTATTAGCTCTTCCGTACATTTGAATTTTAACCATTTTGACTAAACAATAATTTTTTTTCCAGGTACATTAATGAGTTGATTGAATATGTTTTCCTTGCTATTAAGGATGATGGAAGTAAAGAGGCAGGTGAAGACCAGTCACCTAATGTAGTGAGTCATAACAGTGATCATGCTGTTGCCGCAGATGTTGCACCAGTTGAGTTTACTTCAAGGAAGAATGCATCTTCCTACAATCAAGTGACTGATTCGATGGTGTCAAGAACTGACAATCATAAAGAGATTTCCCCAGATGCTTTAGAAAATTTGAATTCTAATCTATTTGGTGAGGAACATTCGCGGCCTGCTGACTGGGCACGAATACTGGAGGTAGCAACCCAGAGAAGAACTGAGACTCTAATGCCTGAAAATCTTGATAACATGTGGACCATAGGAAGAAATTATAAAAAGAAAATTCAGAAGATTGCTGCTGGAGGACTTCAGGCTCCCATGACAAAGGGTTCAGGAATATACAATGCTGAACATACAAGAAGTTCGGGAAAGCAAATGTCAACTCATAGGCCTGTAATTTCTTCTGCAGTAGAAGATAAAGTGCCGGTGCAGTTACCACCAAAATTACATACAGAGACTCGACTAAGTAATAGGAACAACAATGTGATCGATTTATCTCGTGGCATAAACAAGGAACAATCTATTGGAAAAGCACCACTTTTTGGTGAACTTAAGGATACTGCTTATCTTACTGCTAGTGGGAATAAAGGTGGGCTTAAAAGATCAAATAGCACTTCTGCCCTAAAAGTTCAACCTAATATGGAAAAAACATTCACAAGTGAGGGTGGTGGGCCCATTATTTCAGAGTTCTATAGCCCAGATTTTTGCAGGCATACTGAATTGCATACTGCTAAGAGTGTTTCAGATATCGTGTTCCGCAGTGAAGGAATCCTCACTCCCAAGCTTAGGTGCCGGGTAAACTTCCCCTTACCCATTTTCATTCGTGAAAAGTGCATAGATTTTACCCATTGCTATAAAGTAAACCCATGTAAAGACAGGATTTAAAGAGCAATTTTGTTTCTGTGTTTAATTTGTGGTTGTTAAACTCGCCTTGAATTTAAGTTTATATTTTGCTGTTTGTGTCTCATCACCAGCTTCTGATGCTTACCTAACGTCTACAGGTTGTAGGAGCATACTTTGAGAAACTTGGGTCAAAATCATTTGCAGTTTACTCAATTGCAGTTACAGATGCAGATAGAAACACTTGGTTTGTGAAGAGAAGGTCTTGTTCTTATCTTTATATTTAATGGTTATCCAGGCTCATGTTTCTTCATTGGCTCCAGTGCTAATTAAAGTTGCTTTAATCCTTCATTTCATTAAGAAAGTTTCTGAAGCTTTTAGCTCAGCTTGCTCAATCCCTATCTTGGATGTTTTGTAGTTGATCTTTTCATTTTTATTTATTTATACGTCATCCTCATTTTTTTCTCCTTCCTTGCCTTTTTTTTTTGTGTGTGTGGATATTTTGTTTTGATTAGACATCACAAGCTCCATATTTCTACATTACATGGATCAAACTGTGATGAAGTACCACATCATCTGGCAACCATGTCAATAGGAATGCAATCGCTTTGACTAAATGCAAATGGAAGTTATGTTTGATACATGATGAGCTAGTATACCAACCATATACATATCTTTCTCATCTAATATATTTATATCTTAGAAGTTGATTCTTAAATGATTAAAAGGGCTTACCTTGCAGCTACATTAAACCGAACTGAGATCATGAATATCCATCCTGAAATTGTTGTACTGCAATTGGCACCCACCAAATATTAATTACTCCATGTGAATCAAATATATATGAGAATAATTGACCCACTATTCCAAGTAAAATGCTAGTCATTGAAAAAAAAAATATTCGAGAATTTGATTTATTTTTTATTTTCTAGTCAATGAGTTGGACTTTTAATATATCATCTATATGTTCGATTTATTTTTTTATTCTGTTCTTACCAAATAGAGAGAGCTGCTAAGGAGCTCAGCCAAAGCCAAACAGCAGTAGCACATCATCAAAGCAGGGTCACAGCAGAGGAGAGTCACACAGCAGAGAAGAGTCACGTGTCAAGCTCCAAACAAAATTAGTTAGATTAGTTAGATGGTTATGAATTAATCAGAGTTAGGTTATATTTCAGTTACCTGTAAACTGTAGTTCAATAGTAGTTACATATTCATTTTCTCTATAAATATGTATAAGCACTGTACTCAAAATGTATGAAATAAAAAATAGATTCAGTTTTCCTTTATGGTATCAGAGCCATATTCAAGCTCTTACGAGTACTGTTCTTGAAAGATCCATCAATGGCATCTTCATTACCAACTCCATCTTCAACATCATCTTCCATTCCTCCAAATCTTGCTCTTCTCATCACAAATCTGAATTCATTTGTAAATGTCAAACTCGATTCTACAAATTTCATCATTTGGAAAAATCAAATTCAAAACATCTTGAAAGCTACACAGCTTTTCCAATTTGTTGATGGCACACAGATTTGTCCATCATCTACTGTCACTGATGAACACAACAATGTGATTCTGAATCTAGAGTATACACAATGGATGATTATTGACTCTCATCTGCTCAGTTGTTTGACTGCAACTCTCTCTCCACCTATTTTCACTTCTGTTCTTCATTGTTCTACAAGTCATGAGGTGCGGCATGCTCTTCTCAAACATTTCACATCCCTATCAAGGTCACATATTCACCAGTTGAAAAACAAACTGAATCAAGTTGTCAAAAAAGGCCATACCATGGATGAATACTTAACGCATATCAAATCCTTTGCTGACCAGCTAGCTTTAGCTGCCTCACCTGTAGATGATGAGGATTTGGTTTTACTGATTCTTAATGGATTGCCTGATGAGTACAATGCATTTAAAACTTCCATCCGAACTAGATCTGAATCCATTTCTATTGGAGAGTTATGTTCTTTACTGAACTCTGAGTCTATTCATGTTGAGTCCTCATCCAAGCAAAGTCATATTGCAGAAATTCCATTCGCTTATCATACCTCAAGAACTTCTTCTCGAGGTGGTTATAAAGGTAGTTCTCACAGAGGTCGAGGAAGAGATAGTAGCAGATTTTTCAGAGGTAATTCTTCTAGTTCTCGAGGTAGAGGAGGTAGATCTTATGGACAGAGTTCACATCAAGGTGCTTCTCAAGGAGGATATCAAGGATATCACTTACCTCATTCTTCTACATATCCAGGATATCACTTACCTCATTCTTCTACTCATTCTTCGACTGCTCAACATGTTTCTTCACCAGTCCTTTGTCAGATTTGTGGCAAACCAAATCACTCAGCATTAGAGTGTTGGCATAGGTTGGATACTTCCTTTCAGCCTGCCAGATCTGCCCCTTCTCAAGCATATGTTGCCTCCACATCCTCTTAGCCTGGTTCTATCACTGGTGACAGTTCTCATATCAACACTAACACCAACTGGTTTCTGGATTCTGCTGCTACCAGCCATATTGCAAATGATTTGAACAATCTGGCCTCATATCAACCATATCGTGGTTCTGATCAGGTCACTGTTGGAAATGGTAATACATTGCTTATACATCACACTGGTCAAGGTCTCCTTTCTACACCTTCCTTTCCTTTTCATCTATCCCAAATGCTTCATGTTCCTTCCATCTCTTGCAATTTACTTTTAGTTCATCAGCTTATTTTTGATAATAATTGCACTATTACTTTTGATAAAGATGTGTTTCTTATACAGGACAAGAGTACCAAGAAGGTGCTCTGTAAAGGCTTTCATTCCCATGGTCTCTATCACCTTCCTAGTAGTTCTATCCCTGCCTCTGCTGCTCCATCTACTGCATCATATTCACCAGCAACTTGTTTTCATTGTGCTGTTAATCGTGTTAATAGCTCTACTTCTCCTAATTGGCATTTTAGATTAGGACATCCATCATCCAGAAAACTTCAATATCTTGTTAAACATCACATGGTGTCTCCTCCATCTGTTTATATTAATAAAATGTGTTCTCATTGTTGTGTTTCCAAAAGGCATTGACTACCATTTATATTAATAAATATCTTGTTAAACATCACATGGTGTCTCCTCCATCTGTTTATATTAATAAAATGTGTTCTCATTGTTGTGTTTCCAAAAGGCATTTTAGATTAGGACATCCATCATCCAGAAAACTTCAATATCTTGTTAAACATCACATGGTGTCTCCTCCATCTGTTTATATTAATAAAATGTGTTCTCATTGTTGTGTTTCCAAAAGGCATTGACTACCATTTAGTTTGTCAAATTCTACTATCAATAAACCTTTGGCTCTTATTCAGACTCATGTGTGGGGCCCATTCACTTCCACTGTTGCTTCCTACAAGTATTATGTAATTTTCAATGATGATTACAACAAATTTACCTGGTTATTTCCCCTTTATTACAAAAGTGAGGTATTCTCTAAGTTCTTGGAGTTCAAGGCTTTTGTTGAAAATCAGTTCTCTACTCACTTACAAGTTTTACGCAGTGAGAATGGGGGTGAATATCTTAGTAACAAATTTCTTGAATTTTTAAAAAGTAAAGGTATTCAGCATCAATTAAGTTGTCCTCATACTCCTGCGCAAAATGGTGTAGCTGAAAGGAAGCAAAGACATCTCATTGAGACTACTATTGCACTTATGCATCACTCTTCTTTACCTCTTGCTTATTGGTTTGATGCCTTAGCCACATTTGTTTTTCTGATTAATAGGCTTCCTACTGCTAAGCTAAATTTGCTCACACCTTTTGAAGCCTTGTTCCAGCAGTCTCCTGATTATACATTTCTTAAGACCTTCGGTTGCCGATGTTATCCATGGCTCAAACCTTATACCACTCATAAAGTACAACCTAGGTCTGTGCCTTGTGTGTTTCTTGGCTATGTTCCATCCATTAACGGCTATAGGTGTCTTGATCCTTCCACTGGCAAGGTGTATATCTTCAGACATGTTGTTTTTGATGAACATAATTTTCCTTTCGCTTCTTCCTCTACAGTCCCATCTGTTTCTTCTTCTTTGTCCTAGCTCAACTCATTTTTCTAGTCTTCCCAACCTGCTTCTGCTGTCATTTCCTCTACACTTGCTGGATCTACACCTGCAGCTCTGTCTTCGAACAGTTCTACACCTGCAGCATCTGCAACTATACCTTCTACAAGTGCTACACCTGCAATTCTGCCTTCCACAGATTCTTTTCCATCTGTCCCTTTTGTGTTTGGTCAGTTTAATTCTGTTCAAACTCAGCATGTTCAGTCCCCTGCCTTACAGTTTGTCCAGCCTCAGTTTGTTCAGTCACCTGCACTACAATCTGTCCAGCCTCAGTCTGTTCAGCCACCTACACTCCAATCTGTTCACCAGTCTGTTTCTCCTCATCTATCTTCTGCCCCAATTCAGTCTCCTCCTTTGCAGGCTCCTTCTTCTATTCCCATTTCTTCTTTATCTATTTTTCTACCTTCACTTCCTTCTGCTAATACTCACTCTATGATTACTTGATCCAAATCTCAACCACATTGTTTACTTACCACCACAGATCTTACTGAACCACAATCCTATCAAGAGGCTTCTCAATCAAGTGTCTGGACTGCTGCTATGAAAGATGAATATGATGCTTTAATCCGACAAGGGACTTGGACTTTAGTCTCTCTGCCACCCACCAAAAAGGCTATTGGTTGTAAATGGGTATTTCGTCTAAAGAAAAATTCTGATGGCACTATTGCTCGGCATAAAGCCAGGTTAGCTGCCAAAGGTTTTCTTCAAACTGAAGGTATTGATTATTTTGAGACATTTAGTCCAGTAGCAAGCCACCTACTATTCGCATTCTTCTCTGCTTGGCTCTTCACTTTCAATGGTCTATCAAACAACTGGACATTTCAAATGCCTTCCTTCATGGTGTATTAGAGGAAGAGGTCTACATGCATCAGCCCATTGGTTTTGTTGACACCACCCATCCTTCCATGGTTTGCAAACTCAATAAAGTCTTGTATGGCATCAAATAAGCTCCTCGAGCTTGGTTCTCCATCTTTTCTTCCTTTCTTCTCACTCAAGGTTTTAAAGCTAGTCATTGTGATTCTTTTTTATTTGTTAGGAAGACTTCTCACTCCATCACCATTCTTTTAATCTATGTTGATGATATACTTCTCATAGGGAGTGACTCCTCTTATATTTCTTCTCTCATTACCCACATGCACTCTACTTTTTCAATGAAAGAATTGGGGCTTCTTAACTATTTTCTGGGTATTGCTGTTACCTCTTCCTCCTCAGGTTACTTCTTATCCCAACAGAAATATGCTACTGAAATTTTAGTCAAGGCTGGTATGACCAACTGCAAGTCTTCTCCTTCACCTATGACCATTACATCTTCTTCTGATCCAGCAGCAGACTTGCCTTTCTCTCAGCCTTCCCTCTATCGAAGTCTTGTTGGTGCCTTGCAATATCTGACTATAACCCGTCCTGACTTAGCTTTTGCTGTCAACCATGCTTGTCAGTTTCTTCAAACCCCTCTCACCAGTCATTTTGCTTTGGTTAAGCGACTTCTAAGGTATCTTAAGGGAACTCTTCATCTTGGTCTCCAATTTAGTCCTGGTCGTCTCACTTTACATGCCTTTTCTGACTCAGATTGGGCTGGTTGTTCTCTTGATCGACGATCTACCACTGGTTACTGTGCATTTTTAGGTCCAAATCTCATCTCTTGGTCAGCAAAGAAATAGCCCACTGTCTCCAGGTCTTCTACTGAGGCTGAATACAGAGCCCTTGCTCAAACGGCTGCTGAACTTAGCTGGATTGGTATGCTACTCTCTGATTTGTCCATCTCTGTGTCAGCTCCTACCCTTTGGTGTGACAACCTGTCTGCTATCTCCTTGTCCAACAATCCTGTCTTTCATGCAAGATCCAAGCATATTGAAGTCGATTATCATTATGTTCGTGAACGAGTTGCAACCAAGAAGTTGCACATCCATCACATCTCCTCCATGGATTAGCTTGCTGATTTGTTTACTAAACCTCTTGCCTCCTCTCGTTTCCTTTATCTTCAGACCAAGCTTCTGGGTTATCACTCTCCCATCAGCTTGCGGGGGCATGTTAAGGAGCTCAGCCAAAGCCAAACAGCAGCAGCACATCATCAAAGCAGGGTCATAGCAGAGGAGAGTCACACAGCAGAGAAGAGTCACGTGTCAAGCTCCAAACAAAATTAGTTAGATTAGTTAGATGGTTATGAATTAATCAGAGTTAGGTTATATTTCAGTTACATGTAAACTGTAGTTCAATAGTAGTTACATATTCATTTTCTCTATAAATATGTATAAGCACTGTACTCAAAATGTATGAAATAAAAAATAGATTCAGTTTTCCTTTAAGAGCATCCAGAGACAACTCAGGGTTTTCAAGCAAGCTAGCAAGCAAAACAAGAATCTGAAAATACCAAGTCTCCAAACAGAGCCTAACAGCCGAAGCAGCCAATAACTTAAAGAACCCAGGCAAGCCAGAGAATGCCCGAATGCTGAACCCATCCCATGTGTACTTACACCTTTCACTCTTCAATATATAAACAAACTGAGCCACCACAATGATCCACCAAGACAAGCTGAACACCAACGATGCACCCAACAACCCAAGCCCTATCTTGTACACAAAAAGCCAACTCAGTAAAATATGTAATACTAATGTTGCAGCTGATATGTATGCACTTGGTGTCACAATACTCTGTGCTTGTAGAAATTTTTGGATAGGGAAGTTTAATGCGTATGCGAATATTTGGGGAATTAGACAGTATACGAACAATGCTGCTGCAGATGCTATGGCTGTTGATTCCCCCAGGAAGATGAGGATGGGCTTGCAGAAAATGTAGATTAGGGTAAGTAGTACACCGGTTATAGTGAGAAGAATTGCTGATCTTTGGAGATAAACACCAAGCATTTCATATTTTTGGGCTCCATATGCTTGTCCACACAATGTTTCAACTGCACTTCCCATCCCTAGCTGTTATAGTGAGAAGAATTGCTGATCTTTGCATTGTTTTTCCATTTGTTTTGTAATTTTGCATATCATTTGCAGTACATTAGATTCAATTGCATATCATCGCACTGTTTGTGCACCCCTTGGTCTAAGGAGACCTTAAATCCTGCATTCGCGTTGTTGCACAGCTTTCGATTGCATTGTTACGCATGTTGCTAGCGATATTGTACCTGTTGAGTTTTCTTTCTCTTTTAGGCACAATATTGTATGTACGGTTCATTTGAAGCTGGTGCAACCAGACGAGCCACACAGGTATTGTATCCTCCGAGTGAGACGTATCGAGAATTGCATAATTCTCTTGCACCCTCTCTGCATTGTAGTGTAGTTTAGTTTGCGCTAGCTTAATACTGTTGCATATTATGTGCTTCGTTACAGTTTTCTTTGTATGATCATAAGTTATGCTCGGCTTCTTGCATTTTCAGTTGCATTTAGCCCCTGCCTTCGGGCGCATATCGTTATTGTCTTGCATGTTTGTCTAAGTTTCCGGCCTTGTCAAAAATGGGTCGTCTCTGGGCTTTGACACTCACTCCCGTCATTCTTATGACTTTCGAGTTCTGTCAAAGAGGGGCAACTGTAGACACCCCATTTTTGACCGTCCTCATGACTTGGACGTCACCATTTGAACACTCGGTGATCATTCTTGATTGTGTTCATCTTGAGTTCCCAGAGGTCTCGGCGACGCGCCTTGCATCAGGATATCTCAACTCGACTGTTTTGTGTCTGGTTTTGCACCAAACACTTGTGTTTTTGCTTTGGAGCTTAGGGAATGACTTGTTAGCCATCCCCACACCTCACCGGCCATGGCTTGAGGCTACCGGCCATTGGTTTGTTGCCATCGGCCAAATGTTTGGCCGACCGGCACTCTTTATGGTCGACCAGCCATCTTTTTTGGTCAAATAGCATTTTTGGCTGGCTGACCACTGTACATCTACTTTTATGGATATTTTTATGCCAGCTGTGCCAGCTGGCATACACTTTGCCTCCCTCCATACACGTGTATGGAGGGATTTCATTCATGCTTAGCTTGTTTTGGAAGCTTTGCAAGAGTGAATCTCTATAAGAGGGAGCGTCTTCTCCCTTCATTAGGGTTACAACATTTTTCCAGAGGGCTTTGATATTAGGGTTAGGGTTTGCATATCCCCCATCTCTATATCTCTCTTTTTTGTGTAAGTGTGTGTTTGATTTTATTATTGCACACAAACACCCACCATTACACCTTACCTTGGCTACTGAGGTGCTAGGGAGCTGTTCTTGAAGTTCTTGACTGGTTTTGAGCTCAAAGAACCAGCTGGAGCATTGTTTGTGAAGGAGGTCTACAAGGGTAACAATCTCACCCCATTTCTCCCACTTTTGCATAGCTTTTCAACCTATATTGCAACTATTTTCAGACTTTGTATATAACTAATAAAATTCTTGTTTTTGAGTGCTTTAAATAGTTGTTTAAGGTCACTTTGTTGTTTGAGGTTGCTTGACCCCTCTTAGGGCTTGTTTGGCCCCATTTTTGTGCTATTTTGGTGAGCTCTGGGACCACCTTGTTTGGGCCTTCTCACCACTGAAATCCTGAGGGGTTTCAGTGGTGAGGATGGTGGTTTAAGGTCCTAAGAAGGAGAGGGCCATCCTCTCTCCTTGTTGTCTTTAATATATGCCATTTAAGCCTCATGTGTGAGCACCATTTTTGAACTCATGTTGGCCATGTTTCAGTAGGTATTTGGTAGTATTTTGCCATGTTCTACCTCTATTTTTACTTGGTTTAGACACACCATGCATGCCTTGCATACATGTCTTGTAATTCCATGTTTTAGCCTTAACATGCTTTGTGCTTTGAGCCTTGTTCTAGCATGTTTTTGACCAAGCTTTGTGAAGCTTTTGTGCTTGTTTTGATGTGCTAAAGGTCTGTTTTTGGTCATTCGGGTAGTCCATGCTTTTCTTTGTATAGCTACCATGCAACCTCTCTTGTATGCCCTAAGTATTGACCCCTCTAGCATGCCATCCTTACTTTGTTTCAGTGGTTTGGAACCACTTGCCATGCCATTTCAGTCCTTGTGGTGTGTTTGTATACTTGCATTTGGTGTTCCTTTAAGGCCTTAAAGGGTTGGTGTTTCATGCTCCATGTTTGTGCCTTCATGTGTGCCATCATGTTTAGGCCTCTAGGATGCCATGTCATTGTGTTTTTGGCTTTGTTTTAACATGCTAAAACTCTTATTTTAGTTGTTTAATTCATGCCATGTTTGGTTTTGTTAAGGGTAGTTCAATACCCCTTTGGTGAGCCTTAGACCCTGGACTTTGTTTGCATACTTTGATTGCCTTGTTTAGATTGATTTGGCATCATTTTATAACATGATTTCAGAGCTTATAATGAATGCCATATGTCCATGTTATCCTCTTTTAAGTGTGCTTAAAAGTTGTCTCCATATGCTTAAGTGTTTAGGCCTTAACATGTGCATGTTTGTGTGTGCTTTGCCTCTCATTCCTTAGCATGTCGGCCACTGTTTTGGGCCTAGTATAGGGCTGCCCAAATTGGTATAAGTCCATTGTTTGCATGTTGTTGCATGCTCGCCTTGTGTGTTGTCATATACTTAGCCTATTGCATGTGTTGCATGCTTCAATCGCTTTGCATTTGGCACGCATTCTCTTGTCTTAGTTGCCTAACATGTTGTCCATGTTGCACCTTGCATGCTTGCATGGTTAAGTTGCACATTGCATGCTTGACTAGCTTGCATAGTTATTCCACGTCTTGCATACTTATTTGCTTAGGTTGTGTGCCTATTACATGCTTACTTGTTTGTATCTCATGTTTCCGTGCTTATTGCTACTTTGAGCTAGTTGTGCCAGAGCATTTCAATGAAACGGCAGAGCATCTCACTTACTCTTCTGCACCTCGAATTCATTACATTGACCTAAGTTGTTCAAAACTTTTTTCCAACATTGTGGTGTTAAAAACCAAGAGGAAAGAATTCCTCGGGATTTGCAAAACTTTGATCAAATTGAGAGAAAGAGAGGCGTGATAAGCCTTTAATGAATGAAATCATGTTTGTTAACGTGAGCACTGAGAAAGACCATGGCTTGATCCAGATTGGTTCCACACTATCTTCAGCGCGAGCAATTTGCCTCTTTCTTAAAAACTTTCAAAAACAAAATGTTTTGCGCGGTCCTGCGAAGACCTGTGTGGAATCGCTCTTGAGATTGTGCCGCTTAGGATCGCTCTAAGCCTCGAGACTTGAGCCCTTGCTTTAAAACCTTGGACCTTAGTTCAAAAGGTTCAACGGTCAACTACAACATGAAGCCTGCGTGGCCAAATTTGAAGCAACCCTCGAACAAGAGGCCAAGAAAGTCAGATCAAGAAGATCGGGCCTCATCAGAAGAAGCTTGCGAAGCTAGAACAGAAGCACCTCTTGGACTAGGGGCAAAAATGTCTGATGTGCTCGAAGAGCCGAAGATGGATCCTTCTGTAAGTCAATACAACAGCCACCCTCCTAGATACGGATGGCTTCGAAACACTAAAACCATTTGGCATGGGCTTGTTACACTTTTACCCTTTGAGAGGCTCGCTGGGCCGAAAATCCGGAAGGGCAACCCGGGCAAAAGTTAGAGCAAGAGAAAAATACAAAAAAGAAAATGAAAATTGAAAAGAAGAAAAAATGAAGAAAATGAAAAGAAAAGATGAAAAAGAAAAAGAAAATACAAAAGAATGGAAAAGAAAAGAAGAACAAAGCTCGCAAGGTTAAAAACCCAGAACGGCAACCTTGGCAAAAGTTAGAGCGCAAAAGGAGAGGTTAATACCCGAGTGTACCATAAACCTGAACTACGTGAGGCTTGATTCCCATGTTTGGGATACATAGGCAACTTCATTCTGAAGTCCAGCCCCTAACGCTTTCAAAGCGACTGTGTCCATATATTGGTTTTGACCATCTTCGTCTTCTCTGTATCTGAGAGTTCGGTTGTGATCATCACTAAGGAGGACTGTTTACAATATGCTGCGGCGTTATCCAGACAAGGGGTAACTTTCCGATGCCATGAGTCGCCATTCAAACCAGGGACAACTTTCTGTTGCCATGCAGTGCCATCCAGACAAGGGGCAATATTCCATTGCCTCCGATCCGAGGTTGTACATCTCAAGAGCAAGTTTCGTGCTCGTTGAGCAGTGGCCGTTTGCAAAAATAGTTTTTGAAAATTTTTACTGAGGTTGACTATTTTCTTGAAAATTATTTCATTTTCCAAAACTGGACCATTTTATTGGACCCAAACAGGAAAATTTTCAGTGCTCATAGCCTGACTTGTATGATTTTAAATTAGAAAATTGAACAAGCATGTTAATCTAACTCTCATGTTGGTCAAAATTGTTTTAGTAGAAAACCGAAACAAAAAATGTGAAAATGATGAACTAGGGGCACAGTTGAGTCAGGTGTTCTGTCTTTCCCCCGTCGTCAACATACTTGCCAGAAAGGCACTCTACCTGCCAACAAAGGTACAACTGAGGTTAACAACAAAGGGCTGAAAGCTCTTAACATCCTCCAAGCAACGAGGTATCAAACCAAGTGCAAAGCACGAATTGGGGTGGATTAAGATACTCCACTCCTTCATCCGGAACAACGAATAAACGTTGCCGGAGGTAATAGCTGCAAGCTAATAGTGTTGGGCATGAACTCAGAACCTCTTGTTTATCCACCGACCATATCTAGGGAGGGATGAAAAATGAGACATTGAAGAATAGAGAGGTGCAAGTTGAGAGAAAAGCGAGCAGAGGGGTTTTGAGAGAAAAATCGAGCCTGAGGGCCGAGTGATGTGAGAATCACAAATAAGAAAGGGTGGTAAATAATACCCGAAGAAACTGGCTCCTCGCGATTTCTAAGGTCTCTCGTCCTTATAACGCGTCTGTGTGCCGTGTCTTTTGTTTTGTTTACCTCAACTCTTGTTTTGAGTCGGTCCCGAGCGTGTCTCATCGTGTTTAGGTTGTTTAC